GATAGGATATTTTTTAATATTATCATATTTTGAAATTAAATTTTGTAATCCTTTTATATTATTTTCAACGTTTAAAGAAATTACAAATCTAATATCTAATTCTTTAATTTTTTGTTCATATTTTTTTTATTATTTTTGATCATTTTTATCTGTAATAACAAATGTAAAGGTGAAAATAGGTGCAAAGGTAGAAGCAGAGTTTGAGATATGTATAGAGGCAGAGACAAAGGTAGAGATAAAAATAGAAGTAAAAAGCTCACTTAAATTATTATTCACTAGTCAAAGTAGTGTAATATGTTATACATTTACAACCAAAAAACTTCATATACATGGTCTATTTCTTGTTAATTTATCAGATATTTCATCAAAAGTCAAATAAAATGTACTCTGTGGAAATATTTTGAAAACTTGTCCAATTTTCATAAAATGTACAAATGCTAGTATCATCTAGATAATTGATATATAATTGTATGAAACTTCATTACTAAAAGTTGTACATCAGATAGAATGTTGCTTATAAGTATTTTACACTTATATGAAACTTCATTACTAAAAGTTGTATATCAGAATAGATGTTGTTTATATGTTTTTAACACGTGCAGTTTATTAGTCTGAAAATTTATCATCAGAAATTGTACATTATAAAGAAATAATAGCGAAATTCTTTTTATATTTGTATAAATATCATAGATAATAAAATAAAATTATAATGATACATTACAGTAAATATAGCATATGATCCTTGTATATATTAAATAAATGTAATATGTAAATTGCGTAAATCTCTTATTCTAATATATAGAGAATATTAGAAATTAATTTTTAAATTACAATAGACGCGAATAAAAAAATATACTTACTATTCTTATGAGAAATGACCGCAGCTTTAGTCCTAGAATGGGTAGTTCGAAAAAGTTGGGCTACATTCAATTTACTTCATTTTGTTGATTTCAGAACAGGTTCTGTCGATTCTTAATTATTTGCTACATTTTTTAATGGAACCCGTCACTTCTTAATATTATTGCTTTGTTTTTTATTAGGTTCTGCTGATTTTTGGTTAATCATTGCATCTTCTGATAGAACTCTATGCTCTTTGGATTCAATGCTTGTATTATTACTTTGTTTTTCAAAGTTATGATTCAATTTGACTTGACTGAATGTGGATGACGATCGATCATGAGTGTTATTTAAATCTGTTAATCTATAATTGAATGTTTCCTCAGGTTAAGAATCAATAATAAGGTCATTTGTCATCTATAAGCATAAAAATTATGAGAATAAACAAATAAACATTGTAAGTATTGAATCAATATTACCTGATCATCATTTTCCAACAAGAGGAATTGTTTCGAAATTTATGTCTTGATTATCAAGATCAGCAAATGATTTTATTAAATTATCATTATCTTCAATATTTATGTGAAATATAAATAATTATTAATTTGTATCTTAAATTAAATGAATAAATAATAATAAGTATTTACCTGCAAGTTCAAGTGATGAGGTTTGTTTAGAATTGACGTTTGTTTTGAAAGTTGTAAACACGAATCTTGAATTAGATATATCTTGAAACACAGAATAGTCTTCAGAATCTGGATCAACTTCATTAGAAAGAATAGTATTTAGATTATATGGCTTAATGGTCCATTGTGAAAAGTCTGGTGATGTTGAACAGGCTGGAATAAATGATGATAATTGATAGAATCTAGCTTTATTTAGATATACTAATATATATCGATAAGGGTTTGTTGTTCTACCACTAGAACCTTAGTGTAATTTTGCTCGACGTTGTTGTTCAACTTTTGCATCGATAATTCCACGTTGTGACGGGTAAAAATTTTAGATAGATTTAATTGGTAGTTTATTAAGTTCATTTTATTGCCATGTAGATCTTCTATGAAGATCAATTTGTCCATTTTATTGCCATTGATCAATTATGTAAATCATT